TCAGCGGTCCAGTGCCGGCTTAATGCCTTTCTACTGCATATGAACTTGGACGTTCAGCTTTATTTAATTTAAGCTTCAAATTGAAATTCAATGTTTTCATTTAAACGACTGAAAAGCTGGTAGAGACAGCTGTAAATCAGTTTATTTTATATAAATATGTTTTTGTTTACTTAATTTATTAAACGTCAATGTAATCTTATTGAATCTAGCCAATAAATAAAAAAATATTAAAGTTTTTTAGTTCTTATACTTTATATGTATATTTTATATTCAATTATAATATATATATTCTATATATATAATTTTTAATATTTTCATATGCTATTTTTAATAGCTTTCAATTTTCATTTCATTTTTTCTGTTTCTGTAATAATATAAAAAAAAAAAACGTTCAGCATTTATTGTTCAAATTCACAAGCATATCAAGTAATGCTATAAAAGGCTTCGAATTTAAAAAAATAATGTGAAATTAAACAAAATGTTTTTATCTTTTACAATCTGTGGCCTTTTGTATGTTTTTAGCTTTAAAATAAATTGCTATAAAATTTTTGTAAGGCTTAAATTTGCATTTTTTGCACCTAAGCTGGCAGACTTTAATACAGACAGAGAAAGTGACAGATGGAAACACAGAGAGAGAGAGAGAGAGAGAGAGAGAAGGAGACTCTTGTGCATAATTTGCAAATCAAATTGAAAATACAACTGCAATGGCAGGAGAACTTTGTGAATTTAAGTTGAAAAACTTGCAAAAATCTATAAATGTTTATAAAAGTTTTAAGAAAATTATTTCAGTTTAGTTGAGATTCGTGTGAAAGTATATCCTTATAGCTGTGAGCCAAGATCTCTTCTACTTTAAACTGAAATTTGTATGCATGTCTGGCTGAGTATTTTTTTTTTAGCACTGTCTATGTAAGGTTTTTTTTTCTTGACCGACAATATTAATATGAATGACTGTCATGCACGGGTGTTGGTGTCTCTGTGTGTGTGTATGTAATTATGTCACAGTGAATGTCTGTGTGAGTGTGTGTGTGTGTGTGTGTGCAGCGAATCGTTAAATGTGCACGTGACAAGCGTGTAATGAGGAAGTCTTCAGTCTTCGGTCCTGTTCCTGTCTTCGCTCTTGGCCAATATGAAGCTTGTCTTTATATATGTACATACTTACATATATATGTACATACATACATTTCACTGCAATGTAGCAGCATGTTACGCATATAGAGCTGCCATACATATATTTCAATCATTTTAAGTGTGTTTGTGTTACAGGCAGCCAGGACAGCGCCAGCACAAGATTGTCCCTGTTCTTCCTGCTGCTGATGGTGCTGGCGCCTCTGCCGCTGCTGCTGCTGCTTGCTGCAGGGCATGCGACATGAAAATTGGACAATGATTTATGAGGCGTTAAGTCAAACTTCATATTAATTTCATTTCATTTTCGCCGCACTTTACGCTGCGGCTTTAAACTCTCAGGGCCAACGACCATTAAAAGAATACAAATAATAATGCCAAAGTCACAAAAATTCGACTGGGAAACCTGAAACGTGTTGTGAATTTTCAATACAACATAAATCAGTTATGCTAGGAAATTCGAATGCCTCCGAAAAAAATTTGGCAAAATCGTTTCAGTAGAACGAATATTTAAAAATTTAACTTTGTTTTCAAATATATATCAATGATTAATTTTGTTCTTTTTAGTTTTTTTTTGTCGGCTTGAGAGCAAGCTACAATTTATGAATTTATTATAGTTTGCTCTTCAATAATTTGGTTAGCATAAAAATATAAATATTAGAAATTATAAGCAAATAATTTTAGAATGTATAATAAAATGTCTTTAAAAATAAAAATAAAATGTTTTAAAAATATCTCAATATTATACATATATCCATGAATTATTTAACATAGTTGAAATTTTATATTTCACAAAATATTTGTTGATTTTAATTTAAAGCGATTTAACAATAAATATGTTAAAATGTTAATAGCAAAAAGGCTCAGGCTCTTTCTCTTTCTCTCTCTCTCTCTCTCTCTCTCTCTCTCTCTCTCTCTCTGTCGCACTCTCACTCTCCGCCACGCCCTCTCTGTCTTTCTTTCCTTCGCCCATGTATACAGATATATCTCATCTCATTTTCAGTTTCAGCTTCGGATTAGTCTATGCGGCCCCCCTTGGCTCTTCCACTAACATAATCACATTGACGCCCTAAAAATGTATAACTAGTGTACTTCGAGCATTTTATTTCGCACACGCACACATACTGACATACACTTGAGTGGGCAGTGCGTGCGTGAGTGAGTGTGTGTGTGTGTAAGCCAAATAACTTGTGGCATGCCTCGAGGCGTTGGCCAACACTGGCCACAGCAGTTGGCGCCCAGCAAATTTTTCTCTGTGGTTTTTGTGCTTTTCACACTTGGTGTGAACTGAAAATTCTTCTTCTTCCCCGCCTCGACTGCCTCGCGCACGTTTATTGCTCACTGAAGCGTTAACCATGGTCAATAAAAAATTTATTTAGACAACCGCAACAACAACAATAACAAGAATAACAGAAACAGGCATTCAACTACAATCACATGACGTATACGAAATTTGTGCTATGTGCTGATAAAAAATTTGTGACCAGGCCAAAAAAATAAAAGAAAAATACGAAATATATGTATATATATATATATATATCTCACTTTTTGTAGTTTTATTTTTATTCTTTACTATTTTACTCGCTTTGATGCTGAGTGTTGGCATTCAATTTATTTGTGCACCAAAATATTTCAAATAATTCATATTTTATTGACTGGACAACAGCGTCGAGGCAGTTAAAGGAGCCCAATTGATATACAGATAGAGATAAAGCGAAATGCGACAACAATTAGGTTTCCATTGGCCGCTTTTCATTTCTGTTAACTCAATTTATTTATGCTGAATTTATCAAAATGCCCAAATTTTTTTCCGGTTTTCTTTTAGCGATTGCACCAATGTTGATTGAGCGTTTGCCCATTGTTAGGTTTGAAGTGTGTTTCCCGTTCGAATTGTGCACTTTTATTGGAATTATGTGTGGCATTTGCGAGGCTTAATTGATTCAAAAGCAATTCAAGTGATAGCTGGATAAATTTTAATACAACCGAACGGCCTAATGGCTTTATTTAGCGCATTCAAATTATAATGCCAATGATTTAATTATGTTTCTTTTTTTTAATGGCTTAAGTACTCTTTGCATTGATTATAGCCGAAGCTTGTGAATGGTTCGACTTAAAAAAATTATAAAATTATAAAAATCATAATTTGAGAGATCATGCGAATCTGATTTATGCTGTTTAAGCTAATCAAATATTTATTATGAGGCTTTTGGGCAATCGATGATTGTTGTCGATAGTCTTAAGAGCTACTGGAATAATGTAGAAATGTTTTCAATTTGGTAAATGTGAACGTCTAATAAATAAATAATATAAAAATAAATATAAAAATTGTAAAAAATAATAATATCGTATATATAGCGATATACTTAGATAACTTTATACAAAAAAAAAAAATAATAATAATAATAATATCCTATATATAGCGATATAATTAGTTAACTTTATTTATATTTTTTTATGTTCCATCTTATGCATATATTCAAGCTATGTGTATTACCAGCTAATAGCGGGGCAAATGCTGAATGTTTGATAATTTAAAACTGACATTAATCAAAGGTTAACAACGATATTTGCAAACTTTTGTCAATTGGCTTGAAGCGAGGCAATCGGAGGCGGGTGTCAGCAGTTATGTTCATGCTTAATTAGTTTTAATGCGTAATAAGCATATTCCAGCTGAATTAGCCAAACGCACGACAACAACAACAACAACAACAACAACAAGGCCAAACGATTCAATTGCAATTGCCTTAAAGTATGCAATACACATATTCAATTATTCATAGTTGAAATTGCAATGGGTAATGAAATGAAATCAAAAGCTGAATTTGCCATATGCCAAAATGTAACCAGCATCATGTTGTTAATGCCAAACACTCACCCAAACTGTCTCTCTCTCCCTCTCTCCCTCTCTCTCTCGCTCTCTCTATCACTCTTGCTCCAACTGGGTGTGCATCTATCTCCTTCTATCTGCAATCCATGAATGCAGTGAAATGCCTTAGAGCCAACATTGACATCATTCCACTGCTGCATGGCTGTACTCGTAATTATACTAATCTATGTATATTTCGAGCTCTCTCTCTCTCCCACCTCCTTCTCTCTCTTTCCCTGTGTGTGCGGCAATTCGTATGCATCCGAAATTGACCCTGGAGACATTTTCGTTGCCCAGAAAAGCCAAAACACATTTATTGTTTGATATATTGTTGTTTCGTTATTGTCGTTTGAGGACGATTCGATTTGTTGCCCAACTTGTTTAATTGTCCCCAGCATCAATTGTGCATTTAGTTCGTTGTTTGCTTAATTTGCTCATTCTGCAGCTCTATTAGTCAATCATTCGAATGTTGCTGCTCATTTAGCTGATGTGATAGCAGTTACATACATATATGGGACAGCCAAATATGGAAATCTGTCAGCAATTAGCTTAGCTTTAATATTATTTGACTTCATGGGCAATTATTATATTTAAGCATGTTTAATTATATGTTAAAAACAAATCTGAGAGCTCCATTTGAGACAGCTCTAGATCTCCTGAGCCCTCTCAGTGTTTAGCAAAGCACACGTCTCGACTATTTCCAAAAGGGGGTCTATTAAGGGTCGATATACAAAATATAAACAACACGAAATTGTATAAAATTCATTTAAATTAACAATTAATATTTGAAGACTCTAGTTCTTGTAATGTGGGAAATAATATATTTTATTATGAATATTTTGATATATTTAAAATTAGAATATCTGTACTCTATTGAAAATATATAGTTTTATCAAAAGTATGTAGGCGTGGCAGACGTTGCATCACTCCCTAATTTCCTTGCTGGGAATCTATTAGTCGGATGCTGCCGACTTCTTAAAGTTTATCAATCCATAAAATTTAGTTTGGAAAATAAAAAAAAAGTCAGATTTTATTTATTATACTTTGACACCAAAAACTTGATGATATACTCATAGCCTATAAGCAAAATAGCCCCGCCAGGCACCATTCGTATCGTCACCGGGAGCAGGCCCTTATACAGTGCCTTCCAGCCCTCTTCTCTGCATATCTGTAAAACTGTGCTGAGTGTACCGCTATACTTGACTTTACCCGGCACCGGCTGTGGACCCTGTATCCTCGTCTTTACAATATCTAGTGGAAGACTTGCCACGCAGCTCACTAAACTGGCTGCACAAGCAATTGAAAAATTTCGCAGAAACTCAGTTAACGGACGTTGGCATGTGGGCGTTGCATCTCGAACCGACCAATAGGACCCGAAATAAATGACATTGAAGACAAAATTTCGCGCCACCATCGTTGGCATGCCCCTGTACAGTCCGTGACGGCCATAGCCCTGATTTTGAATTATTTTCTGTGCCACTTGTATCGATGGTAGCTTCTCCCGGCTTGCCTGCTGTGTAATCTTAATTATCTCAAAAGGATTTTGAATCAGTGCCTCCACAATGCCCCCCAATCCACCAGCAAATGCATAAGTCGGCGGGCTAGGCCATGGAGCTCCAAACATAAAAAGCGGCTTGGATTGATCGAAGACCAGAAATTTAATCGATCGCTTGGGAGTGTCAATCACTAAAACGGGTACCAAGCCTCGCCAGAATGCGGTCAAACCTTCCTTGCGATATATCTTTCTAAACGCATCGGACATGCCAGCATAGTGATCGGGCCCTGTGATCGTATCGTTCTGCAATTGCAATCGAGTCGTGATCACGTCCAATGGCTGCATTAGCAGCACGTCCACAATGCTCGAGCAACCGCCCGCAATGAGTTGAAAAATTGGATTTTGTGGCTTATAATTCGGGTCTCGTCCATACTTCTCTTTCAATTCAGTCATAAAATATATGTGAACCTCCTACTTAGAGGGTTTAATTTTGTAAATTACATAAAAATTTTTACAATTATCCAGAACTGATTTAAATTTCAAATAACTAGAAATTTTAGTTATATCCAGCGAGAATTAAATTAATAGACCCATAAAAAATCAACTATATTTCAATGCATATTCCATGCATCATCAAGGGATGATAACTTTTTTTATTTTCTCTGTACCATACCATAATTTATTCATTATAAATTACTCCCATAATTTTTGCGTTGCATCGTATCGATCAACATCAGTTATAACACTTTAATTTTTAAGTAGCTTGAATACCACAACATATGGAAACATTAAATATTGTAGAGGGTTCTGAGAAAAGAACACACCAATTTTTTGCTTTGTTATGTATTACGATTTGGATGTGTTTCTTTTAATGCATATCTTTGCTAGGTGCACGCTCTCTCCTTCCTAATTAGATCGATTTCACATTTTGTTGAATTTAATTGATGTTTATTGGCCGAACTTTAGCACTAACAGCTTGTTGATGAACTCGTAGCCTATAAGCAAAATAGCTCCGCCAGGCACCATTCGTATTACCACCGGCAGCAGGCCCTTGTATAATGTTGTCCAGCCCTCTTCTTTGGATATTGTATAAAGCGTCTGGAGCGTGCTCCTATATTTGACTTTACCCGGCACCGGCTGTGGGCCCTGTATTCTCGTCTTTACCGCGTCTAGAGGCAGACTTGCCACACAGCCAAATAAGCTGGCTGCACAGGCGATTGCGACAGTGCGTAAAAAGTCGTAAAAAGGATTTTTATAGGTGGGTGTTGCATCTCGAACAGTCCAGTAGAATCCGAAGTATATGGCATTAAAAATAAAATTTCGAGTCACCGTCGTCGACATGCCCTTGTATAGTCCTCGAAAGCCGAAGCCTTCATTTTGAATTATGGTCTTTGCCACCTGCATCGTGTGAACTGACTCGTGGCTAGCCTGCTGTGTAACCTTGACTACTTCAAAAGGATTTTGTATAATGGCTTCCACCATGCCCCCCGATCCGCCAGCTAAAAAATAAGTCAAGGGGGTCGGATGCTTCTCACCAAACATGAAATATGGCTTGGACTGCTCAAAGACCAGAAACTTAATAGTTCGCCTTGGTGTATCGACCAGTAAAACGGGCACTAGACCTCTCCAGAATGATGTGATACCTTCCTCGCGATACATTGTCTTGAAGGCATCCAACATGCCCTTATAGTGATCACCGCCTTTGACCACCTCACTCTGCAATTGCAGTCGAGTCGTGATCACATCCAATGGCTGCATCAGCATCGCATCCACAATACTCGAGCAACCGCCCGAAATCATTTGAAAAATTGGGTTGGTTGGTTTATGAGCCGGTCCATGTCCATGATTCTCTTTCAATTTAGTCATAAAGTATAAGTTATCGTCCTACATGAACGTTTCTTTTTATATAATATATTATTGTTTTTTCGCAAAACTGATTTAAATTTCAAATGACATTTTCGTCAAATCCAATAAATACTTAATTACTGTAGCCATACACGATACATCTTGACCTAATTGCCCGAGTTACGTATCACACTTCTAGATTTTTGAGCTTTCCATGATATAAGCTATGAAAACAAATGCTCAGCTATATATATATTCTATAAGATACTTTTGTATCTTTTGCATTTTTCTGTATTCAGTAAATATTGTATTTCAGACAGTTTTAGATCTTCCTATTTCTGGTGTTTTTCAACTTAATAATAGATCTGCACATTCTTGTGTATTTTTATGATATTGTTTTGAGTCTTATATATATTATTGAAGATACTCTCCTATCTAAAGATACTTTCTGTTTTGTATCTTAAAAATTGTATTTGTTATTTGATAGATACTATTATTAGTGATACCTGCAAGATATGCAATATTGATTGATTTCTATATCCTCAAAGAATGCATTTTAAACAAGTTTTTTCCATTAAAGATATTTTGAAACTTAATTCTCTAGTAAATATTCATTAGGGACATTTTGCGTCTAAAAAAATGTGAAAAGTACTAGTTTCCTGTTAATTCGCTTACCATTCATTCATATCTATTTACTATCTAAAAATCGCCACAGCTTCGCTCGCTCACCTGCACTAATTGCCAACCGCAGACCACGCCCAGTGGCTCCTCGATGACCACACAATTAAGTGGGCGTATCAAATGGTCAAGTGCCGCGGCAGCAGTCGTAGTCAAAAACGAAAAGGCAACTATTTAGTGGCTCACTTAAAGCAGTTACCCAAACACTTCACATAAATTAATTACAATACGCTTGTAAATGTGTTATACTTGCATAATGGTTGTTCTTGTTGCTGCTGTTGTCAGTTGTCTCGTAATTGTTGTTGTTGTTGTTGTTGCTGTTGTCGAGCTAAACAATTAAGTGCAAATTGTTAAACATGCAGAGCTGCGGTCTGTCTCCCCATTTTCAGTTCCTGCCCCATCTCCACATCCTATGCCATTCGGTGTTGCCATTCGGGCTCGCTGCCTGAACCTGAGACGCCCCCAAAAACAAGCTGCGGTTTTGCATTTGACTGACTTTTAGAGTGGAAACTTTATGCGAGACTTTGCATTGTAGTTAGTTGTTTAAGTCATTAAGTAGTTGAAACTAAGGTTAACAAGTTTAGGCGTTGAGCGTAAGTTGACTATGAAATGCTCTCAAATAGCTACAATGAATAATATTGTAATGTAATATTGTATAAATAATATAATATTGTATAGATACTTTAGTATCTTGTGATACTTTAAATTGCTAACGATACTTTTGTATCTCAAACAGAGTTGACTTACTATTTCATAGATACTTTAGTTTTATGTAATACTTATACTTGTTGAAGATACTTTTGTATCTTATAAGAACTTTTATATTTTACAGCTGCGGCAGTACTATTGTATCTTATTCAATTGTATCTTAAGCAAAGTTGAAATATTATATATGTTTTCTCTACATATTGAAGATATTTTTGTATCTTTTTTAATTATATCTCAAGCAGAGTTAACATACTATCTCACAGATATTATATTTGTATGTGTTAATTCTACTTGTTGAAGATACTTTTATATCGTATTCACACTTTTACACACTCTTACATTGTACCGGTAATTTAGTATCTTGCTACATACATGCTTTTGTATCTTACTATCTCGATGATGTTTTAGCATCGTGTGATACTTCTACAAGTTGAAGATACTTTTATATCTTATTCCGAATTTTATATTACTTACAGATACTGTAGTATTTTGTGGTACTTCTTTTGTTGTATCTTATATTAAATCAATCTATTATTTCAGATATAGTTAGTATGGTGTGCTTGCAAAGACTCATTTGCATCTCATTTAATTTTACGCAGTACAGAATTCGTTGATAATTTCACTTTTGTATCTTGGGGATACTTTTACCATCTGACTACCGTCTATAGCATAATACTTACTATATGCAACCAGCAAGCCAAAACTATTAATTAAAGAATTATTTCGCAAAATCAATGTTAGCTCTACGCCTTTTTGCCCCAAACACCTGAAGGGCTGTTGTGCGGCAGTCATGAGTAATGTAAGTTCATGAAAGTCACACCTGTGGGCGGTCGCTCAAACCAACAATTATGGTAATGTGGCCCAGTCCGGCAACGTCAATCCAACATAATTGCTAACAAATTAGTCATGGTCATACTGGCCCAGCTAACGGCAGCTACTACGCCAGCCAGCAAATGAGTGTCTGGGCTGTCGGAGTCCATTGTGCTCCCACTTGACTTGTCGTAGGCGAAGTTAAACACGCTGCATTGTCTAGCTGGGTGTGTGTGTGTGTGTGTAGGTGTATGTGGTTGTCTGTGTGTATCCTGGCAATTTGCGTGTCACGCTGCACAACTGCCAAGCAGGCCAGGCAGTCAGCCAGGCCTGGGTAAAAACCAACTGTGGCATTTGCCAGCCCACTTAGCCAGCCTGCACACCGGGCCCAATGAAGCAAATGAGTTTCATTTCATGTCCTTCAAACAGACGCTTGTCTCTGCCCGAGTGTCTGCTGTGTGTGGGGGGCTTCTGTTCTTAGTCCTGGCCGGCAGCCGACTAAGTTGGCCCAAACTGTTTGCATAGCTGGCGGCAGTTCCTGACGGTATTCCAGCCGTCTCCTTAAGCGGCTCCCGCCCTTCGAGTGCTGCACTTTTGATGGAGAGTGTTGAAATTTATATTAGAATATTAACTAAATGAATGAGCTACTTAGGGGCACACAAATAGCGCCGCTTTGTAGCTAAGTTAATGTATGCAGCATCATGCCGATGCAAATAATGAACGCTCTATTAGTGGTAGCTATGGCGACAGTGCGGTAGACTTGAAGAAAAGTATATGTACATGTCGTTTGATAATATTTTGTACGATAAATTAGAAACGCTTAAAAGTTTTGCAGGTATAAAACACCAGACTTTGACTTTTGGTGGCTTTTAGGGACTAGACTGTAGATATAAGGGGCTGCCAGATCGCTTTTGCAAATCCAAATTCAAGGAGCGCTCTTGTTTTTGAAATTTTCTATACTATATATATCCTATACTATAATATACTTAAATATTTTTATTTTTATTTTTTTTTTTTTTACTTTTTTAACTTCGATTATTCTGCAACTATTTTATAAGATCTA